GGCTTGGTTATAAAATGGAGATAATAATATTCACTTTACAGGGTTGATTTCAGAATCAGGGACCTCAAGTCAAAGTACCTGCCAAGGATTATGCACAACAGGTCACTGTTCCTACCACATAAGAGGGGAATGGGAGCTAAAGCTGGGACCATGACTAGGAGTTTGCTCTGGAGGAAGAAAACAATTTAAAAGACCAAACTCAGACAATTATTAGAATAGGCCTCAAACATAAGAACCCAGATGGGACTAGAATATTTTCTTCTTTCTCTCTTCCCCCCTTATCTCCTCACAGTCTTTCCAGCCCCATTTCCTTCCTACTACAACACAGAATGATGGTCTAGCAGGAAGGGCTCAGCACAAAGGTCTGTCCATACTTCCAGATGGGTCAGTCCCCTCTTCCCCAAAGATAAGCCAGAATTTGTACATAGCTTTTTGCTATGCCACTCCTACTACTAAAGTCCCTGGTAAGTCACCTCCCCACCCCCTACCCCCTCATATAGAACTGACTCTTCCAGTCAAATCGATATACCTGTTTCCCCTTGTGCTCACCTACCTTGTCCCTTTGCTCATGTTATTCCTCCCCACTCACCTCATTTCCTGTCAGAAAATCTACCCTTGATTCAGGGTCCATTTCAAATTTTACTTCATCCTTAGAGTTTTCCCTGAAAAATTTTTCTTCCCTTGGAAATCTCATAGTGTATTATGCCTGCATTCATCTAAATCTTATCTCCCATTCGTGTGGAAGCCCCCTGAGGTGGTGACTATGTCTTCATATTCTCCACACTACCTAGCACAGCTTGTTCTTCCTAATATGTGTTGAAAATTTGAGTTTTAGAGTTTAGCTCAAGAATTAATTCACATCTTTGCAGTAAACTGACATTCATCGTCAGTGTAAAAGTCAAAACAATGCTAAATATTTGTATTCCTGTGAACAGTAAACACTGAATGGGAAAGACTTCATTTCTCTCTCACCCCTCTCTCTTTTTCTTCTCTTTGAAGCCTTGTTTTCCCTTTTTGAGTTAGAACCAAAAACACATATTTCGTTTTCTGACACTATTTAATGCCTAAGGCATTGTTACAGAAACACAGTAGTCATGGAAGGAACTTTAAATGGTGAAGTAAGCCACTCTCTTATTTCTAAATAAGACTGGAATTAACTCTTCCTAGAAATGTGGATATATGTATATACTCTTAAAATTTAATTTAGAAAAAAAACTGGATTAGAAAGGGAAGGTAGGGTAGGAAAGCCCTCTCTTTCTTCCCTGGTTAACTCTTTCCTGTTCCAGCTGTTGCTATCCTTGCAAGGATCATGGCTGTGGTGCCTGTTGGCATCCTCAAGGAGAATATGATCGAGGAGAATATAAGTGTTATTTTTTTCTAATAATTCTGGTTGTTATTTTCCCCTGGAATTTAGAGACAGGGAATTCTCTTCATATGCTTTAAAGCAGTTCCCTGGACCAGCATATCTGACTCCTAACCAGCATCAACTATTACACAGTAGCAATTTTTCATTAGGGGTAAAGTCCCTTCATAGAACAGCCATTGAGGTAACACAAAATATTAAAATGTGAGGACCGAGGGCCTTAAGAGATCTTCTAGTTCATTTCTCTGACTTCAGGTATAAACACACAACCCATCACAAGGGTGGCTCTCCTATGTTTCAAGGTTTTAGAAAAAAAATCCAATCTCTTGGTTGACTGATTTCTAACTTCATTGAGTTGTGTCCTACAAATCACCATGTGCTTTCTTTCTGGTGGTGATGGTGGTGGTGTGGTTTAGTTTGTTTTAAATTAGACTTTTTTGGTTTCTTGACAATATCTTATTAAAATAATTATCTAATTATCCTTTAGTGTTTATTTTCTAACTCAGTTCCTTGATACTTGCTCAGAAACCATGCTTGTCCGCTCTTTAAATATTGGCTAATGCCTTCTTATCTGTCTCCATATTGTCTTTAACCCTCTTTGGGTACTATCAGAATAGTAGATGATCCTAGTACATTAATACGTAAATGTTGGTAAATTTGCCACTGCACTTTTCTCCTTGTCAGTAATTCAGCTTCACATTTCTATTTCATATATTTAACCATAGACTTGTGAGTCTGGTCAAATTTCAAACTGGATTCAAAGTTATCATCACAGTAGTGAATTGTTTGCTCCCTCTTCTGTGTTCCTATTGCTCTTCATACTTATCTCTATTTGATTAGAGATAAGTATTTAAAGTATATTTTTACTTTAAAACACCTATCTGTTTATATACCTATTAAAATATAAACAGAAATACAAAAAAATGCCTGTCTAGGGCAAATGTTCAATAAATGAGAAAAGCAAAGGATGATAGGAAGAAAGGACATTAGGTTAGAACCACAGGAAGCCACAAAGATGATCAAGTTTAACCACACTTGACAAACAAGGAAAATAAGACAATAAGAAATTAAGTGAGTCCAAGCCATATAACTAGTGAGAGGCTATTTGGGACATTTATGAATTGGGGGAACCAGGTAGTCATCCCCCCATTCATTGTAAGAGCACTCTGACTTTAGACCCTTGCCTATGCAGGGTCTGACTTTTGTTTGACTCTTAGAGGAAAAAGAGCTTTTCTCTTTGCCAGTCTTGAGCCCAGGAGGATTCAGGACAGAAGCTGCTGGCAGCCACTGTACCATCATTTGGAGCCAACCCAGAGGAGACAAAAGCTTGAAAGCTGAAGAGGGACTCGGTACAGTGATTCTTCTTAAATATCTAAATCAAGACAAACCCACATAGCAAATACGTTTTCTTTTTTACTTAGGTTTGATGGGCTTTCTGACTTGGTTGTAACTAAGTTCATGCGGTTCTTGAATGAAAGTATGGATTTTCTAACTTTCAACCTCTGTTGTTTTTTTTTCACTACCTTATTCTTATATGCCACCCTCCCCAATATTGTTTCTTTTTCCTTTATCAAATGACAGATTTTCTCTAGCAATTCTACCTGGAGGCTTCCAGCTTTTAAAGACAACCTTGTTTTCCTTGAATGGACCTCCATCTGATAAAAGGAAAGATTACCTCCCCATCCCTACATGACTAGATCCTTATTTACTCATCCCTCAAACATGCTTGTTATTTAAAGATAAAAGTATAAAGGTCTACTATTTCCAGAGACTTCAGTCTCATCCTAAATGTATTCCAGTTTGTATTTGTTCGGAGCTTTGAAAACCAGAGCCTAGGGAGCCCTGAGTTTGGGTGCATACATGTGTATGGCCTTATCAATGCAGAGGCAGAAAGTCTATACAGTGGGGCCTTGACTTACAAGTTTCCCGACTAACGAGTTTTTCGAGATACAAGCCATCTCTCGGCCAATTTTTTGCTTTGAGTTGTGAGCTAAAATTCAGGTTATGAGCCAGCTTCAGATACCCCACCGCTAGTTGGCCCAGTGAACGTCACAGTGAATGCCACAACATCAGTCCAGCATCACGTGTCATTGTAATGGTGAAAATTGATTTGACATACGAGTAATTTGAGTTACGAGCTCCGTCACGGAACGAATTAAACTCGTAAGTCAAGGCCCCACTGTACATTCAGAAAGCCCTGAGTCAGAGGTGGTACCTTGACCATTGTTGTAATTGATTTCCTTGGGCTATTAAGGTGACTTTTGTGACCTTACAATGGTAGCAGAAAGGCTCATATATGCTCAGTAACTGATCCAGAGTGTGGAAACACAGCTCCAATCTTGTCTTCCCTGGTGAGGTTGATAACAGCTAAACTAAATCAGAGGGAAATCCCAAAACTAGAAATCAGCACTGCACTCTGACCTATAGGTAATATTGCAAAAACAAAATTCAATTAAGTCTGCTGAAGTTTTCTGCTGGGCCTGGGAGAAATTTGCAACCACAAAAGAGATGTGAGAATCAAGTTACTTTATAGCAGCTTGATTCCAAAATATTTTACACTTGTAGATGTATGTACTAGAAGATGAGATAATTCATTCTAACACTGTAGTAGTAGATGAATTAAAAGAGCCTAAATTCCCATCAATTGGCAGCTGGTTAAGGAAACGATGATACATGCCTCAGTGGACTTCTGTACAGCTATTAACATGAAGAACAATCGTCTCTATGTCCCGATTTGAAATTACTCTAGGATATCTTTTTAAGTGAAAAAAAGCAAGGGATAGGAGATTGTGTGTGGAATGAGCTATTTACTTTGCATGAAGGGAGAGATAGCCCTCTGAATGTGCATGTGCGGGCACACACACACACACACACACACACACACACACACACACACTTCAATATGCAGAGAATGTCTCTGGAAGGAACCACAAGGAACTGGCATCAGAGGTGGCCTTGGGGAAGGAGGACTGGCGTGCTGGTGGGTAGTGTTGAAAGGGAGACTAACTTTTTGATATATTTTTCTTTGTGCCATTTGAATTTGTATTACAATCTCTCCACATTGCCTATTAAAAACAAAAATAAAGAACAATAGTCCAAGTTTTCACTTTGATTTAGAGCTTAAAAATGAAAACATTAAGATTTTATATTTCTTTTGTTCCCTTTGAGGCAAAAGCAGGCCCCTTCCATCTTTGTTACCTGCTTTGGAACAAATAGGCTCCAGTATTTTTAGACTTTCTCCCTGGAGTCCAAAACTCACAGTATGAAAGTAAGCAGGGAAGTATAGAGGAGTTGGAGACCACATTCCCTGCCCTAAATATTTTCCACTCATGAAGAAACTAGCTTTTCTCCTCTTACTGTTGTTTATACCAATAGAAGAGTGCACTGAGGTAATTCCGTCTTTTCTGCTAGATTAAAGAAAGGGTTTAATCTTTTTTTCCCCTTTCTTTCAGAGAAGGTTCTGTTGTTCTTTTTCTCAAAGTGAACATACATCTGAAAACAGCTCTAGTGCATTTCTGCTGGGAAAAGCAAGAAACTATTAACAGCAGCACTTGAGGCCACTGTGAAAGTCCATTACCCCAGAAATAGATTAAGGCAAGTTTGCAGAAATGCGTTACCCTAGCATTATCATTCTTACCTGAAAGAATGTGGCTCCTACTTAGCAGGAGACAGATGTTCTTATCTCATTCCACTGACAAACTAAAATGAAATAAATAAAAAGTTCACCTCCTGGGAATTTGCTTTACTTCTTTAATTTTGAGTCGTACATTTTGTGCAGGGTTATTTTTTCACCCATCCCTCCACCCTAGGCCCCTTTTCTGAGGTTCTTAATGGCACCTGCCTTGGACTGTGCCTCTGAAATATCTAGCTTGAGTTTAGTCCCAGACATGGTGGAAATTGTTCAGAAGAGCAGTGAAGGGAAAGACTAAGCCTAAACCATGGTGGCTTGTGAAATAACTTGCATAAACCCAGTACTCACCCCACAGCTTGTTCCTTAAGCACAGAACTCAACTAGTGTCAGTTCCAAACACATTCTGATAACAAAATCATCTGAGCAGAAACTTATTGGTGATACTCCTCTCTACTTGCTCTTCTCCTTTTTCTCTCACCCTCTATAACTGCTATGCTCCAAAGGGCAAAAGATCAAGTTCAATTGTGCCCAGTTTGACACTTAAAAGAGGGCTTAAATGTAGCTCAAGTTGAACCTTGCATAGTTTCCAAAAGATATACAGTTCTCAGGAAGTTCATTTCCAATAGTAGTGTCAGAGATTTCTCCCATTTAATATACGGTGAAGGAAACCATGAATCAAAACTAGAAGGTATATTTGTCAAGCTTAATAAGAAGGCTATAGGAGGGCAGTTCCCCGAAGACTCTATCTTGTCCATGCTACACCTCAGGCATTAGATGTGAGAAGAGTCATCCTGTCATTTACAATGAATACCAAGGTTTGAGATCAAGAGAGTGGTATTTTTTCCTTGTCCTCAGATCAGTGGTTCTCAAGTCTGGCTGCACATCTATCTCATGAGTTTAACACTATCCCCCAGAAATTCTGATTGGATGGTGTTGAGGGCGGCCAGGGTCCTGCTGTGTAGCCCGAGCTGTGGCCAACTGAGGCCACTCAGGGTTTGGGACCAGCTTGATGTCATCTTCCTGTTTAAAAGGACTGATCAGACAAACCTGGTAATTTCTGCACTGGACAGCACTTTCCCAAATGCAATGCCCACTTTCCTCAGAGCCCTGCAGGGTAGGCAAGACAGGATATTTATCTCCATTTTACAGGTGAAGACACTGAAGATTCAAGAGAAATGCCAATGGTCAGACGCACACTGAGTCAGAGGCAGACCGGAACTCCAGACAAAGTCTCTAAGGCCAGGCCAGTTCTCATACAGCATTGCAGCTTCCTCCAGACTTCAGATCCAAGACCAGCAGCCTTGGTGCTGGCAACCATATTGCTTCCAAGAAACAAAGGAAAAAGCAAAGGAAAGTCTATAGCTAAAAAAACACAACCCCTTAATTTCATAGATAAGGAATTCAAAGCACAGTGACTTGCCCAAGGTCACGTGGCCAGTTAATGGCAAGCAAAATAAACAACATTGGGATTCTAGCTACCAAAGGCAGAGCAAGGTGTAGGAAAACCAAACAGCTCCTGCTTGGAGTTTCAGTGGAAGTCAAAGTGATTACTGCGCAGAGAGCTGCTGTGTATTTGGAAGGCTGCCCACTGCATTGAGAAATGGAACATGGCAAAGGGTAGCCACACAAATCACTGAGGTCACCTTGCCTGCTTTATGAGTGTGCCAGCCTGTAGGAGCCTGTATACATTTGGCAAGGCTAAAGAACAACAATAAAAAAAATCTCCCTGGAAAGTGTTAGCATAATTATATAGCCAGTCTGTTTCTTACCTGGAGGTAAATGCAGGCTCCACAATCAACTGTCAATTGTGGTGATCATTCATGATATAGAAGTGTGCAGAGGAGACGTCCCCCCTCTCTCACTCTAATTTCTCTCAGCCTCTAGCACAGCTAGAGAGTAACAAATTCCTATAAAACTGAAACAACTTCAAATCCCTGTCAGAGCTTGCCAGAGAGAGAATGGTTTACAAACTGCCAGCAGAACATTGGTATAAACAAGATAATGCACATTAATACCCAGCAAGTCAATTAGCATTCAGTTATTCTGAACAGGGCCTGACCTTGATGCTTGAGGATCTGCACAGAATGCAACCTGTAGCTCAAAGGAAAATGTCACACCTTCCATTCAAGTGGGCAGGTCTCTACGGTTCAAAGGCTCAAGCAGCGCTCTTCCTCATATAGGCACACAGAGGGGCAAAAACCTTCTCAGCACACTCTTGTATTTCATAATTGATGTCTATTTGCCTTTGAGCCCACTTTGAGGATGCTCACCTTTGATCTACATTTCTAAGGGATCTGTGTTATGCTGCATTTCAGAGGTATCTTTCACTTGGAGACCTCTGAAGCCTCAAAGGTCTCAAAATGAAGAATTACATTTCTTCGGATCGTTCTTTAATTGCTAATTCAAAGAAGGGATTTTATTTGTAACTTTTATGCTTATTATCATTATCTCTGCCTTCTGGGGACACTGTTCCTTGAATTTGGGGAAATGATCAACCAGTCTCTCCCAGTGCTTTGTGACTCCAGGGTAATGAGTTAGGCACCCTGACAAAGGGGGGTGATCCATTTCAGTGCACAGAGCAGAGCTTTCATACTTTAATGTGCACATGAGTCTCCTGGGACCCGGTAAAGGGAGTGACTGATTTAGTAAGTCTGGAATGGAATCTGAGATGCTGTGTGTCTCACCAGCTCCCAGGGATACTGAAGCTGCTGGTCCATGGACTACACTGTGTGGATCCACCCAGAGTGGCTCCACTCTGAGGAGCTTCTTCTATGGAACAAGTAGTTCTTTAAAGCGGGGGGGGGGGGGCCTTCAGCAATTTCAAGATTCTGCTATTTGTAACAAGAGGTGTCACTAAACACTATTCAGATAAGTCCAATTCAGGCATCCTAGATATATAGGTTTAGAGGAAGTCCTCCAACACCAACATTTTTGTGTCTGAAGACACTCTTCTGAGAGAGGTATTACAGGTTTTATTGTTTGTTCACTTATTTGTTTTGCAGGGCTCTTATTTGTCCACACCAGGTAAATTTGATGGAGCCAAACCAAATCCCTGTAGCATTAATGGCCCTTGCTTCTGTTGGACCATCAATTAATAAACACTCATAGAAACAGCAGACTTGATCATATTCTTTCCTCTAGACTTTGCAGGATCAACTGGCTGGGTCCTGGGTTCAGACAAAGTAAATTCTTCACTAGGGACAGCAGCTGGCTACAGGGGAGAAATCTGATTGTTTGGGTATCAAAACAATTTTCTTCATGGAGTCCTATCTAGTGTATTCAACAAGCACTGTCCAAACAGCACTCTGCCTCATCCCCAGCTTCTCCTTTCCATGGGCTCGCCCGTGCGCACACACACACACACACACACACACACATTGCCTAGCCAATTTCTCTGAAATCATTTGCAAGTTTTTGTGTTCCCGTCTGTCCATGTCACCTACCTCCCATATCTTTCCAGGTTTCCAGGCCATTATAATATAACAATAAATAATAATCCTAACAATAATAATAACCACTGTTTAAATCCTCAATACAACCCTTTGAGATAGGTACTATTATTATTCTTATTTTATGGATGAGGACTCTCAGGCATAGAGAGGAAAAGCAATTTGCCCAAGGTCACACATCTAATAATCAGGGATACAAACACAGATAGTCTCCCACCAGAGCCCATGATCTTAATTACTACAAGATACTTGCCCATACCCTTTTAATCACTTTACCAAAAAACAAATAAAGAAAAGGCATTATTATCCTCTTTATCTTTTACAGTGGATGGCTCATTAAAACCAGAGCCAAAATAATTAGCAACCAAATAAATTAGTTTCCTTTCCAAGAGAGTATTCTTAAACACTCCCCTGAGGTGAGGGAAAATATTTGCATTCTGTCCCTGTTGGTAGGGTGTGTGAAGTGAAGTGCACTCCCCTAGAATGGGCTGGAGCCTCCCAAGGAAGCAAATAATCAGAAAAACAAAACAACTGTTTTCACAGTAAAACATGTTGACTCTTCTTACATCCTTACATTGGAATAAGTTCTATCCTCAATTTCGACGTTCGTGTCATACAGCCTTTGTGAAGCTTCCTTCATTACACCAACCGCAGTCTTTTCTCATTCCTTCAACAACTGTGGACAGTATTAAAATCTCTGCATGCCATCCGAGTATATGTATTACAAGTTCTCCTTTGTTTCACATATACTATTCCTGTCTCTTCCACTTGATTCTAAGCATTTTAGTTTAAACACTTATTCCTAGAGAACTATAATAATCTTCCTTCTTTATATATATTACTATAATAATCTTCATTCTTCATATATGATGGATGTGTTCATGATTTATTGGACAAACATTATCACTGTCCTTCCTTAACTCAGGGTAACATAGCAAGGTATTATTAGCTTAGGTGGCAATACATCAATTTAGCTGTCCCTGCACAAGCTAGGTCACAGACTGTCCTCTGCACCATAACAGTTACCTATGACACCTCGAAGCCCAGTTAACCATCTCATTATGATTACAAGAATGCTGGACAACCAATGTAGGCTAGACCAGAGCAAATTTATAAACTACAGTCCTGAGAAAACAAACTCAGAGTTCAGGCCCCACGGATAAAGGCTCAGAAGGATCATCTTTGGACATGAATGGCAACACTTATTTTTAATGTTTTGATTTTGGCACTGAGGAAATCTTCCCCATTAAGTTGGCTGAAAGCCAGTGGGGGAAAATCCAAGGAAAGGTTTCGCAAAATCCCATATTTTCTACATTAGTAATTCACTCATGGGTCCCTGAGTTATATGAAAGACCAGGTGTTTAAAACACAAAGTTAATTTTGAGCGTTCATCTGATGATCCCAGATGTAAAGATACTGGGAAAGATCATTATGTCTAAAACCCATGCTTGGACAACCTATGGAAAATAAGATCCAGGGCGATATTTGGAATATGTTTGGTGAGGATAACTTAATTTTCTTTGACAGATTGACACATCCTGAAAACCAATAGAGATAATATATTTTGACTTTACTAAGACTTTGATGCCATCCTCTGTGGCATACTCAACATTAAACTGGGGAAATGTGGCTTGAATTATACAACCATGGGTTGATCATACAGATAACCTGAAGGCAACTCAAGGTTGTTGTCAGTAGATCAGTATCAACCTGGGAGTTCCACTAAGTAATGAAAGTATATTGACAATATATTATTGGATATAGTGTTTTGTCATTTACCTAAATGTTGACATCAGAATATTATTTGCTTTTCCTATACACAGAGTCTTGGGAACAATTTTACCCAGTTCAAGAAAGTCACTTTCCCCCCAAACTCACAAGAGCCTCTCTGGAGAGATTTAAAATAAAATAAGTTTTTATCAATTGAGAAAAGGAGGTTATGTGAAACTTAAAATGAAAAGTGAGTTGATAGATTAGTTACTTCTTTCCATTTTAAACCTTTAATTTCTATTTTTTTAAGAAGCACCAATAAAAACCCATTACCATACTAATACTGTGTCTAAACTCCTGATGTTTATAAACAGGCCAGGCTAAGAAGTGGACCATAAAGCAGGCCACACATCTCCCCAAGACACCAGAATCCTAGTGTGACTCTTAAGCTTTTGGAAGACTACAAGTAACTTTCTCATCACCATGGATATGCCACTTGCTTATGAGGCAGTCTGAGCCATTAAAATCAACAGTCTCTACTAGACTCTATGGTCTTCAGGGAAAACTGAAATTGAAAATTCTTCTCCCTGAACTTTACCTTCCACTTGTGTGTCTCTTTCACCTCTTTACTCATTGTCTGCACCATGCATCTCTAAGTGACCAGGTCATTAGGCTGGTTCTGGCATTAAGTTGCATCTCTCTCCAGCTTAACCCCTAAAGTTAACATTTTTTAATACTAACTCAGGGTAGTGCCGAGCCCCTGCGTCCCCTTCACTGGGTTGTGGTAAGAATCAAAGTTCATTTATGTGGAAGCAATTCAAAAAATGTTAAAGTGCTGTCCAGACATTATTTTTATTTTTGCTATTGTTTCTGGCACCACTGATAGCACCTGGCATATGGTAGGTATGCATTAAACATGTGTTGAATGAAGAATTAAACAAATGGAAATACATAC